TGAAGTAGGTAGCTGAGCTAGGGAGGCTAAATCAGCATTCATTTACCTTTCATGCTTTGCCTCAATTGAGCTTCTAATTTTAAGTCCATTTACTAATACTTGTATCTTTCAAACTCCTCAAATCTTGTACGGAGCTACTAGAGAACCGATCTCCCTTAAGAGAGCACAGACTAGCTTCCTGTACTAAGAGGCTAAAAACTTAACAAGCAACAAGCTCTCAGGCCCAGCGGTCATCCATCAGGCAGACCTGTGGCTTTATGTCCACCACAGTGTGGACCCCCTGCTAAGAAGAAGAAGAAGAAGAAGATGGTGCCGGTGCCGGTGGTGTGTAGAGGCCATCGTTCCACTTCCAGACGTTCCTATTCGTAAGTGACGCTCTTGAATGTTATATTAGCTTTAGGTAATTATTTCATTTAATTTAGGAAGATAGGACGGGGTGGGAGTCAACGTAGGAAAAAACAAGAACTACTAGCCTTTCATCTGGGACGTCTGAGCCCATCCCCGAGGTGGAGAATGAAACCCCTTTTGGAGTCAGTCAGTTTTAAAGTTGTCCCTTTTTGGAGTCAGTGCCAATGACAGGGCAGCTACCAGATAGGAGATAGTGCAAATATACTAAGGAACTATCAAGCTCACTTAGCTCAGTAGCCTCAGCTCAGCTCAAAGCATTAGCCAACCTGATGCTGATGAGTGATGACTTCCCAAGGGCCAAGCCTTGTTAGAAGTGAGATGCAATCATGCAAGCTTCTATTTTAATAAACTTGCTGTTAACAAAACAGCAAATGAGCAGTTAAATAGCATAGAAACACTGGAAATGCAACATGATGGGATTGGGGCAAATTTTGAAGGGTTTACTTCTCATTCTGGTATCTGGTTCACTTACTTCACTAGGACTAGGACTGCAGGATGGAATTCTAAAATTGATGGTTTATATATTATTCCGGATACACCTAGACCAGTTTTTCAATCCAATAATGTTATTTGAGGCAGAAAAAATGAACTTCTTAAAGGCTTAATTAAAACACATATGGGTATGCTAAGTTTCTTTAAAGTAATCACTTGGAAGTTGCATGCCTGCAGGCTGCAGCTTTCATTCAAGAATTAAACTTATAAAAAGTATTAGCTAGTTAAACATTTGTCTCTTAATTTGACTGCAATGAACTAAACATCATAAAGTAATTACAACTACCGTGACTACGCTGCCGAGCAGACTTTTCCATGATACACACTAAACATGTAATTCAATCATGGGAGCGAGACAACATAGCACAACAAAAACCGGCATGCAACTGACGATCATGGCCTGGTGTATACGTAACATTTATATACTCAATGCAAGAGAATGATTAATTATGATATATCTGATAGAGGATTGAAATATTTTTGGAAGCCTAAAACCTAAGCAAATTATTTTGTTACTTTGACATGGTTGATTTCAAAATAAATATTCAAATGCATATTCATGAAAAGCTTTTAAAATAAATCAAATGGTGTTCATTTGTGATTAAACAATTCTGAATCGAGTTATTTTCCTTTAAATAGGAATCTTTGCATGGAAACTTTTGGATGATGTGTACCACAATATTTGTACAGTGGTATCAAGGGTCAAAGCCGTCGACCGTTCGTTGGATGGCCGCTAATGTGTCGCATTGTTCTACCTATTATGGTCAATAAAACCTAATTAAACTCTGTTTGTCAAAAGGACAAAAAGCTTATATTGAGCTTACGTGATAGTACAATACATTTTTAAATCTTCTCCAGTCATGGGACTTGAATTCATACTCCTATGTGATTTTGAATTTCTGCACTGCATTCAATTACGCAATTTGTTAAATCATAAATTTCAAATAGGTACCAATTTTTTCAATTTAATCCTGAAAGCATCACATCTGTTAAATTCTAATAGGGATCATTAATCTTTGCATCATATTTCTGAAAATTAAGTATTGCATTTCTTTTAAATTAAAAATATTCTTTTACATCAAAAACAGTTTTTTCTTACAGCTTCTATGATGATATAGGATCTCACTTATATAATTAAATATTATAAATTTAACGATTTTGTCATTTTGAAGACTCTATTGATTACAGAACTTTAGTTTTCACAAGTGTATTCAAGAACAGTTCTGAAATAAACATTTCCATTATCAATTATAAAGAAAGTTTGCAAAATACTTACCAAATCATATCATTGTCATTTATTTTAGGATGTTGTTGCCGGCGCTATGGAATGCTTATGTCGGGTTCTTTAGTCTCTGGCAACAATTTAGGTGAATGAAAGTTTTCTTTGTGCTATGGATGTATTGTTAAAGCACGGGGCAGTGATTACAGATGCAGTTGCGAATGGAATGAAATGTAACCAGACATTGGGAGCATGAGTGAGGTATTTGAGCTGCAAGAGATAAAACATATAATCAATAAAAGTAAAATCAAATAAAAGAACCTCACTCACAGCAGTTAATAAAAACCAAAAACCCTTAGCATTGATCAAACAATCAAGCCGCAAGCACTAAGTTTAACTTAGTTTGAATATAATTGATAATATGAGTGCACAAGAGTAACGCGAGAGAGAACACACAAGAGATTAAAGTGAATCAAGGTAAATGGGCACTATTGTAACTGTGGTTATAACAGCAGCTTATTGGGTGAACACATACGTAAATTGAAAACAGTTTGGTATTCACATAATATTAGAAGATTGAAATAGCAAAGCAATTGAAGTAAAATCATGTTAACAACTCATTATTGTGCAATTAACATTCTTTAGATTAAAAGCAAGCATTGCAAGAAAGTGGATAAATGTATGTGCAGAGTATAAACATAAGCATGAATAAAGTAAATCAATTATTAAGCTAAATGAACACTAACATACCTGGTTTTAAAAGCATTATACAATATGGATTCTAACAAGCACTCACCAAGGCAATTGCAGTCGTCAGAGCATTGGACATCAATCTGCCTGCTTCTTTTAGAACTTTACAATGTCACTGATCAAGCACATGCATGAATAATATAATTGGAATTTTTCCCCCTGCCTGAAAAAATAAAGAGAAATGTTTTGTATTGAATTAGAAAATATACACTGAGTGAACAAATGAATAACAGATTTGGTTTGCGATGAAAAATACTGAAATAACCACCCGGCTACAATGTATGGATGAAAATTTTTCATTTGTTTCTTCAATGTTCATTTATACCTGCAGCAACTGTAGAAATACATGCCAAGGCCGTTCAAACCAACACAACCGTTGCTTTGCCGCAGAAGTGTTGCATTGTTCTGCCACTGACTGGTTGATATAACTTTAGTCCTAAGCAAACATTGAGCATTAAAATCGTAAATACCTCTTGCTTACTCATTTAGGGGCTGGTCCTTTATGTTGTGGAACCATTTAAAATAATTTTTCCTGGTATTCATAACTGATGATTAACTTTTGAATTGTATTTATCTATATATAAAATTAATTACCTATTTTGTTCATGTATTAAATTATGAAATTTAAATACTAATACACAAATTTTTCTGAGTGAAATTTTGCGAGCGTCACCACTATTGAATTTTAATATGCCACATGTTTCATGCCTATACTCTCTTTGGTTTATAAAAATAAAATAATTACTGCTTCTAAACCTCCAACGTTTTCTAAAAGACACGAGATGTTCGAAAACTAGTGATGGGAGACGATATCATTCAGGATTTGAAGTGAAGTTATTAAGATAAATTTGACATAATAAGGCAAAAACATGAAAAAATTTGTATCTAGAAGCATATCAATAGGTGTTTAAATTTTGAAACAACTTTCCATCATTTAAATCTCAGTGTGGAATATGGATCAAATCTATTTATTGTAAAATCAAACTTCACAAGGCCAAAACAAAGTGTCTGACACTATCTTTTCATATGTTTACATGGCAACACAATGTGCCCATACGCCGTGAACAATTTGCAGTTTATCCCATCATTTTGTGTGGATTTGAAAACTTTATTGGTATTGGTGAAATCGTGAAAATTTTATGTGAAAATTTATGTATTTTTTATTTCATTTTAGAACATATTCATTGCAAAAATTTGTCGATACGGATACATACACGACTAGTTTATATATTCAAGAGAGGAGTTGCCAACTCAGTATCCGATTTCAAACCACGTGCACGTGAAATATAGGAAGCATTGCAGTCCACAGTTTCTGACGAGCACTAGTCAGTGCATCAATTGTCAGTTTGTCACTGCGGTGGAAGGTGTAGCATGGTAGATTTTTCGATCCATTTTATTATGTTAACAGGATAATATATTACCTATCCAGAATTCAAGTCTGACTAGGAGAATTATCTTACTCTGAAACCATTTATACTTTATACTTATGAACAGAGGCCAACTTCTCCTGCTCTCTCTGCTGAAATGTAAATACCTCAATAAATCATACCTGCCAAGTGCTAACCTCTTAATTGTAATTATTGAGCCTGTACCAGATGAAAGTCCTAATGGTCCTATCACCAACTTCATTGCAATTTGCACATTATTTAGCATCATGGCCACCACCAAGTATTGCGATGGCTGTAACTCCCATCACATCCCCCCTAGCCCCATCACGTCCTCCCTAGCCCCATCACGTCCTCCCTAGCCCCATCACATCCCCACTTGCCCCATCACACCCCCACTAGCCCCATCACGTCCTCCCTTGCCCCATAACATCGCCGTAACTCCCATCACATCCCCCTAGGCCCATCACGTCCTCCCTAGCCCCATCACATCCCCACTAGCCCCATCACGCCCCCACTAGCCCCATCACGTCCTCCCTAGCCCCATAACATAACATCATAGCCTTGCCATGATGACATATTTTGGTAAATTTTGAACCATAGCGGAGAAGGGAATTCACAAAAATGTCAGTAAAAATCTCTTAATACTGCAGTGTGGAATTCTGAATATATATTATATATTCTCATGTTAGCACAAGAAAATGGACCAAAAAACCTACCATGTAACACCTTTCACGGCAGTGACCATTGATACACTGAGCTCATCAGAAACTGCCGCAGTTCCAATATCTCCGTGGTTCGAAATCTGTTACCGTGTCAGTGACGTCTCCCTTGAATACATTTAGATTCACTAGTCGTATGTCCATATCAGACAAATTTTTGCAATGAATATGTTCTAAAATATAAAAAAGGATGTCATTTTTTGCAGAAAATTCTCACAATTTTACCGTTACCAACAAAGTTCTCGAAACCACACAAAATGATGAGATAAACTGCAAATCTTTCATGGCGTATGGGCACATAGTGCTGCCATGAAAACATTTGACAAGACGGTGTCACACACTTTGTTTTGGTCTTGTCAAGTTTGATATCACAATAAATAGATTTGATACACATTCCACACTGAGATTTAAATCATGCAAAGTTGTTTCAAAATTTGAACACCTATTGAGAGGTGTCCAGATATGAATTTTTTTCACGTTCTTGCCCTATTATGTCAAATTTGTCCTAATAACTTCACTTAAAATTCTGAATGATTTTGTATCCCATCAGGAGTTTTCTAACATCTTGTGTCTTTCAGAAAATGTTTGTTGTTTAAAAGGGGCAATTATTGCATTACATTACCTTGGGCATGTACCATGAGGTGTATTAAATAATTCAATTTAATTTAATAAAAATTAATTTTTAATTTAAAAATTTTAATCCAAATTTTCAATTTACCATTTTTAATAGAATTTAATTCTACAGCATGTACCATCTGGTGAATTAAATAATTAAATTTCATTTAAAAAAATAAATTTTAATTCATTTTTTAAATTTAATTGAATTCTACAGCTGCTACCAGTAAATATGAGCATCATAATAACAAAAGTAAAATTCTCTTTCATCAACCCAAATTGAAAAACATTGAATGAATTTGATAGGTGTATTATTAATCCCATTTATACATAGGAATGGAAATGTTGCTTCTATTTCAGAATCTGTTCCTAAATACGTTTGTGAAACTACTGTAATACTTATGGTAAATACCATAACAATAAAACTACAGTACAGTAATATTACTGTTGCATTGAGGCATTGCCAACCATAATATCACCGCTATTTTGCTTTCGCAAAATAGCTTTGTGGTGCATCATGTTAAGTTCAACTTTTATTGGTGGCATGATTTGTTATTAATTTGTAAATGTTAATTTGTTGTGTTTGACTTGGAGACAAAGTGCTAATGAATTAATATTTAGTGTAATTGAAATCTTGAAGTATTGCAAGTTGCAACCTTCATTCTTGATTCTTTCAAGTGTAACTTTAATCCCCCCCTATTTTTATCCTTTCCATCTCAACTAAAATTTTTGGATAGAAACAGTGGTGAAGCTGGATAGGAAATAATATATGAAGCTTGGTTTTTAGAAATCCTTCCTGCTTGATAGTAATGATAGATAGCCACGATTTTTAATGTGTTACCAAACTTCTTTCTACTAGTCAAATTGGATCTTGGAAATTGGAAGAACAAATGCCAACTCCCACAGTCCTATTTAATCAAGCAGTGTCAGCAGGAGTGATAGGAATCATTATCATTAGGTTTGATATATGAAAGACATCATTGTTTGATCATACACTAATATTATAATTATAAAGTAATGACTTGAAACTTTGTTGTTTTAAATCAATCACTTGCTTCCAATTTCTCATACTTATACTTATTGAAAACAAATAACTAGCCTGGATCAACACGACCATGAAACAAATTAGTTCACTGATAGCACAACAGTTAACTTGTGAAGAACTAAGAAATGTAGGAAAAACGTTCATGGTTCACTGTAGAGTTCAAGCTCATTTTCAATTGCTTTATGGCCTCAGAAGTTGTACATAACTCAACTTATGAGTGCTTCTATCATTTGTGAAACCATGCATAGGTAACTTTGTTGACGTAACTCAGTGCAGAAATGTTTTAAAGGTACCATATTTTACAGTTATGCGTACTTAGCAGACTTGTGCAATACTTAAGTTGCTACTAACACCTAGCAATGTTTTGAAAGTACGACCCCATATTTATGAACAAGAATGTCAAGATTTAGTCAAAACCAAATTATATGTTTTCAAGATTTTCTTCAGAAATAATATTCAATATTTGTGCATTACTTAAGTAATTTCTTAGTTCACAAACTTTGTATAGTGTAATTGGGCAGAAGCTTCATGTGTGTAAGGAATAAGATCTCAAATTAGAGTAAATGAGTATGTGACTTTAGGTAACATGTTTGCCTTTTCTAATCCATGTTTAAAGGAGAGTTGTGAGCCCAATTCTGTTTACTCTGAATATCTTGCACTACCTAAACTTGCATTATACCTTACAGAAACATTCTAGAGCTCTAAGACTCCAGCAGAGATGAAGGAGTTACCCGCATTGCAGGAGTCTTCTGATGCAGTCAAGTTAGGTGCAGGTCTCGAGCTGTGTCATCATACAGCTGAAGACTGCAGGCAGATGGAGCATTCCTTGCCAAGTTGTGTCATGGGTAATTAGCTCATTGTAATGTTTTGATTTGTGTAATATTTTGTCATGATATTTATGAACATTGCAGTTATAGCAAAATTGATGTTTGCTCTGGTTGCCATTTGATGAAAATCAATTTTATATTTGTTCATGCACTTGCAATTTCATCAAGAGTCTGGTTTGGTTTTATGACTTATATTGTCTAAACAAGTATATATGTACAAGAAGTGTCTCTAGCATAGAACTGTTTGCTCTCCAACTTTTGGCATTAGGTTGGAAAATTTATTTGCTGCATAGTACATATTTTGACACAGGTAAGTATATAGGAAATGAAGGATTTGTCACCATTATTTGATTTTAGCTCAAATCACAGTAAATAAGTCCTTTTTATGTTAAGTTGTATGTTTTGGATAAGATTTATGTAAATTATATAAGATCTGGAATTGATGTCTGGCGTTCTCAAATTTGATGTTAATATTCATGTAGCCAGTGCTGAGTATTTTGACCATATATGATAAGCTAAGGTCGGTAACTAATGACAATTTTTAGGTATGTTCCTCAATAATTGAATCAGTACTCAAGTTGTGGCACTTGCAGAAGCTGTGAAGATTGAGCCTCGTGATGAGCAGCAATCAAACTGTGACTTGGGGCTCCCAGCTGGCTTCCTTGAAGTGGAGAAAGAGGAACCTTTCTTCATGAAAGAAGTTAGTGATTTTCCTTTGAAGAATGTTCTTTTGTTATTATTCTATGAAATTAATAATCCAAATCCTAATAATAGCATAAATTTCAGCAAAGTTCTGAGTTATGCATGAAGGAAGATATGGACACTTGATTCATTAGCATAATTTCCAAGATGCATTATTGTTTCTTCTATCCAAGATGTCAGAGCCTTCCTTTTATAATGAAGCTTAGTATAGTTTTTTTTTATTTCCTGTGTAGAATTTATGACACATTACTCATGCAGATTTTCTATTTATAAAAATAAACTTTTATGGTGGTAGGTATCAATATATCATTATTTAATTTCAGATAAATTTTCTATTTCCCAGTAACCATTTGCTTGCCTAATATAGTTTTATCAAATTTTATTAGGTATGATTGTGTTTTACAATACGATCTTGATTCAATTTAAAATTTTCTCAGATTTCAGTCTAGCTTCCAACATCCTTCAGTTTATTAAACTCCATAGACTCGAGGTCTTTAGAATAGATTATCTAGTAGAAAAATAATAGATTTCCAATTTACTGCCATGAAAATGGCCTAAATTTGCATGTTTGGTGTGAAAATTAGTAAATTCATCTGATTAGCCTCCGGGTAGCTGAACCAAGTTCTTCCAAATATTATACTTATTTTTGAGTACATCAACATTCAGACTAAATTCGTTTAGTAACATTTCTTCCATCTGAGCAGGACAGTGCTACAGTTGCTGACTTCAAACCGTTCCAAATTCCATTCCTGGGCTTGGATTCTCTCAAGGCAGATTCTGTCGAGGCTGGGGCATCTTCATCCATCCCCCAGGCTCTTCCTGCAAACCAAGAACTCCCAACAAGTCCAGGAATCTTTACCGCTGCTCAAATAGCCTCTGAGACTGCCTGCTTAGCCTCTACTTCCCTGGAGATGCACAATTGTGGTGCTTCAATGGCTCTTCCGCCTTCAGAAACTTCAACTTCCAAGGGCAAGAGTCAAACAAATGAAATGAAAATCTCATCCACTGAACAAGAAGCTGGTGAAGCTCGCTCGCCTAATAATGGCCGCCTTCCTCCTACTCCTGCACCATCAGTAAATTGTAACGTTCTCAGCTACAATGGAACGAGAACTGTCCCTGCAACTCGGGAGGCTTCTTTTAAGGCGAAAGAGGCGCACAATTCTGTGGATATCAAACGCTCTAAGCATCTTTACGTCAAGATAAAAAAATGCAGTGTACTATTGACTCGCATTCATCTTTCTGAAAATTACAAATACGTTTGCGATGAAGAAAATGAAAATAATATTTGCTTAGAAGAAATAGCATTTCTAGAGCCTCATCCTAAGCATAGGAGCGAAGATTCAGAACGACCTAAAATGCGCAGTGAAAAAGTGGGCAAAATTGGAGGACCAAATTCAAGTAAAGAAAATAAGTTAAATTTTTCTAAAAAGACTGACAGTCTGCGAAGGACATCCCTCAATCGATCTAACCGTCTAAATGCTTCTATGAGGGAGGCAATTTCTTCCGCAACCACCCACGTACGTCGTAACAAAGAGAAGACTCTCAAGTGTCATGTCTGTGGCGCAGCTTTCCGCTTTAAATGCAAGCTTGACCGACATATCAGCGCGGTTCATCTTATATTGAGGCCCTACAAGTGCTCTAAGTGCGATTATGCCTCCAGTGATGCTTCTCATTTGCAAACCCATTTAAACACAGCGCATGCAAAGCTGAAGCAATTCAAGTGCACAATTTGTTACATGAATTTGTCCTCTCCCGCGTTGCTACAGCGCCACGTCTCTAATGCCCATTCTGCTGCTGCCAAGTTTCTATTGGATAGCCATTTCGCCGACGCCAATTCAATGGTGAAACCTTACAAGTGTTCTGACTGTAGCTATGCTGCTACATCCAAGAAATATCTCAACTGCCACATAAAAGCTGTGCATCTGAAAATAAAACCACATAAATGCGATCTCTGTACTTATGCTGCCGCGACTAGAACACATCTTCTTCATCACATTGCAGTTGTCCATCAGAAACTCAGGCGCTACAAATGTCATGAATGTGGTTACGCTGCCGCCGTGAAGAGTATACTTACGCACCATATGAAAGCCGTTCACTTTAAACTAAAACAATTCAGATGCGATGAGTGTGACGGTTACTTTTCTCAGAAAAGTAATCTAAAATCTCACATTTCCAGGGTGCACCTCAAAGACAGACCGCACGCGTGTTCGCACTGTTCCTATTCCGTGTGGTCGAAAGCAGGACTAGCTATGCATATCGCTATCGTTCACTTGAAGCTGAAGCCTCACAAGTGTCCTCAATGTGACCACAGTTGCAGCAGTAAAAGGAATCTTGACTATCATGTTAATAGTGTTCATTTAAAATTACGACCTTACAAGTGCCAGACGTGCAAGCGCGGGTTCTACCAGAAAACTAAGCTAGAACAGCACATGAAATCGGTGCACATGAACTTGAGGGAACACAAATGTTCGCAGTGTGATTACGCTGCAAGCTGTCACGGGAATCTCAAGAAACATGTTGATGCGGTGCATCTGAAAATAAAGAAACACAAGTGCAGAGTTTGTGAGTACAGCGCCGTTAAGAAGTCTGGGCTTATAAGCCATATTGCTCGTAAACACTGAAAGTCAATTAGCTTCTCACACCGAGTATAATTTTTGCTTGAAAAGATATCTTTCCTACACCATGTGTACGAAATTAATTCCCTTTCTTTCTTCTCAGCTGAAGGTAGCCAAAATGCTATACTTTTTTAGTCGTTACTTATGTATTTTGTATTTAGTTATTATATTACATTTAGTGGAGGGCAGGCAAGTGGTGCTATTCGGATATGGTTGTGGGGAAAAATGTCATCTGGGAGTATTGAGTCCAGCTGAAAGGAACGACATACTGTAGAGGGTGGGACTTGCTGGTATTCTGCATGGAGCAGCTGACAGGGGAGGGGGAGGTGGCTATAGGTTGTTGTGGATCTTGTAAAGCATGGTAAGCCTAGCACGCCTTCTTCTGTCTCGCAACGTTGGCCATGCCAGGTCACGGAGCTCGTTGTACACACTGGAAGCCCGGAGCAAATAATACGAGACTCACCGCGCTGCTCTACGCTGTACTTTTTCAAGAGTGGCAATATCGTCTGCTGCACGAGGATCCCACACACAACTTACGTACTTCAGTATGGGTCGCGCTAACGCTTTGTAGGCGGCTGCCTTGATGGTACAGTTTGGGGTTCGCACTTCAGCTCCTTGGTGAGAGTGACTCCCCAAGCTACTTTACCTGGGTCTCCTCAAGCAATATGCTGGAGGAAACAAAAATCACTGCTTCCTGTCACAAAGGAAATTTTGTATTGCGGCATTAACCCTTCTGCCCATACTCCATAGTGGTGGAGTTTGCGGGTCAAGAGGCTGGTTATCTAAAATTATTGTTTAATCTGAGGCTGAGTCCAAGATGACGCGTAATGTACTTATTGTAATCAAATAAACTTGTTTTATCACAGTGCTAATAATTGCACAAAAGAGCTCAATAAAAGCAACTTCTGCACCACTCAGATGAGTTTTATTAACCTGGTCGTATAAGGTGCCTGTACCCGGGGACAGCACTGGCCGCCGGTTGATACAAGAATCGGCAACAGGCCATGGGCTTATTTATTCAGTGCCGACACTTCTATTCTATTCTATCTGCCGCTTGAACTGTCCACGCTACTAGCCTCGTGTATAGGGGTTCAGCCGCTTCAGAGGCATGCACCCGAGACGCGGCCGAGAGGGACAACGATGTGTTGATTTCTTCGCTGGAGAAGCGGCCAGTTGGGCTGATGCAGCCATGGTGAGAGCATCTGTGCCGCTCTTGTGAAGCATCTTTTGTCAAGTGAATCATGGCTTGTTTGAACGATAATGGTTCTAAGAAGAAACCAGCAAAGTGAAGTCCAGACGATATTTAATTGTGCTCTGAGATATTCCAAAAATATGAACAAATGTGGAATAATCGCCATGCTGGTTACTCCAACAAAAGAGAAACGAGTATTTTGAAGCTGAATGAAGACCTTATTATTCAGGGTTTAGTTGTTCCGGACGTTGCGTTTTTAAGGGCTAGAATAAAGAGTATAAAAACAACGTACAGACTCGAGTTGTTGATTGCCTTGCCAGAGCTAGTGGAGGTAGTGGCAGATAGTACTTGCCTCTAATATGTCTGCCCCAACTACCTGCCATCAGTGGCAGTTAATACTTGCCTCTTATATTGTCTGCCTCAACTACCGACCATTAGTGGCAGTTAGTACTTGCCACTTATATTGTCTACCTCAACTACCGGCAATAAAACAAAGGTCGCTACTCAGCAGCTACTGCCTTTAACTCGTCAATAATAACCGTATAATACTGTTAAGAAATACGATTTGTAGGGTTCGATTACCGAATATTTTCTAAGAAGCTTTTTCGATCGCTCTGGCTTCAGCCTATACATTTAGATTTGGCATCCTTTGCATTTTACCTTGGTTATCGTTATATTGGTGGATGGAAGCGAACAGGAATATTAATCCTCAGGGTCGTAGCGATGCTGACTATAACCTANAAGAAGCTTTTTCGATCGCTCTGGCTTCAGCCTATACATTTAGATTTGGCATCCTTTGCATTTTACCTTGGTTATCGTTATATTGGTGGATGGAAGCGAACAGGAATATTAATCCTCAGGGTCGTAGCGATGCTGACTATAACCTATACGCAATAGCTCGAAATCAAGCTAAAGAAAGCTGTCGCACCGCTGTAAAAACCCTCGAAAAAAGTATTGCTAAAAATGCAAAAAAGAACCAGAAAGCCTTCTATTTGTACGCTAGCTCGAGGTGCAAGATGAAAGACGGCATTTCTGATTTGAAAGTAGATCAACGAAAGATATCCTCTGATGAGGGCAAGGCTAACGTACTTAAACATTTCTTCAGTAGCGTATTCACTGAAGAGGACTTAAACAGTATTTCAGCTATTGAGGAGCGAGAAATCCTGGGCCGCTTCAACCCGCTGCCGCTGCTGGTCTGCTGTGAGCATTTTTGGTACTCATCTTGTGCACTCCTTTGAATAGTCTAAAATCTAAATGTTCAGTCAAAATCTTGTCAATTGTGGTTTTGCTGAGGAATATTTTTTCACGCAGCTCTCGATCTGTAATCCGTCCGATCTTCAAGCATTACCGCTTCGACTTGGCAATTGTTTTTGCAGAAACCAATGGTCGCCGTGCACGGGTGTCGTCGTGGACATAAGTTCGGCCGATTTTAAAGTCCCTGACCCATCTACGCATCATACCAGAGCTAATTTGAAAAGGACAAATTTAGACAAAAGGACAAAAGGTCACCGAAATTTGAAAAGGACAAAAATTTAATAGAGAGTGTTCAAAGACGTGCAACAAGGATAATGAGGAAAGATTAAAGATTATGAAGCTTCCAAGCCTCAGTTATCGACGTGTTCGTGGGGAACTCATTGAAGCATACAAGTATACTCATGGCTTATACAAGGTCCCAGAAGGATTACTAGAATTGAAACAAGAACCAACACCAGGAGCCACGGCTATAAACTAAAAAAAAACAGCGTTGGAACACATCCATGCGACAACATTTCTTCTTGCTTCTATATAGTCACCGGCATGTGGAACAGCCTCCCTGATAGCATCGTTGACGTTCCGAGTATGAACGCCTTCAAGAACAGACTAGACGAAGCTATGCAGGAGCATATGTTCATTCTTAAAATGCCTAGCAAATTACGGACCAGGCAATAAGTCCAGACGAAGCTATGCAGGAGCATATGTTCAGTCTTAAAATGCCTAGCAAATTACGGACCAGGCAATAAGTCCAGCAGCTATCTCAATCAATCGTCAGTTATGGAAAGGCCGGGTTCCAAAGGCCGGATCCCTTGCGAATCAAGTCACGAAAAATTCAAGAATCGGCAACAGGCCATATGCCTATTTCTTCAGTGCCGACATTTCTATTCTAATACACTTGGCAACTGTCTTCGTGAATTCCTTCTCCGGTTTATTCCTAGCGGCCGCAGGTACGCTGGCTTGGTAAGGGATTTGAGTTGAGGAATCAAATAACCTGTCTCTGTGGCCTAGCCTGCACTCTAGCGCCTGTCTCATCCCGAAGAACTTATTTTACGGACACGTCTTGTATTCGCAGACATAAACTCACTTGTTATGACTTTCAGCTTCGTCATGGAATGCGAAGCAAAAATTGATAAATAATTAATAGATGATAATATATCAAGAAATGCAGATATGATTATCTAAAAAGTAATTTAAAATATATTGTTCCTCCCCCTAAAAAAATATCTAATCAACGCGAAATTTACATACTTGCAGGTTTACATCCATGAAGGAATTTAGTCCCTGTGGCTTTCAGCAAGTAATCATGTTGGCTAATTTGCTCTGCAGTATGCTTGCGCACGGGGTGAAGTATGAAAATTATGCTGGTATTGGGCAATGCTGGGTTATTTCAGTCGTCCCGTTGGTAAGTCGATTGTGAGTTTGTGGTGAGCGGACGTGTGAGCTCCGCAGTGACAAAACCTGCCGGTTCTATAATCAGTGCGATAAGTGTTACTGAGTACTGACAATTTATATAAAGTAATCTCAACCAAAATAGTAAAATACCAACTCCCATCAGCGTCTTAAGGACAATATCACCCAACAAGACACCGAGGGTGGATTCCTCACGAAAGGAGGGCCGTGTCCTAGGGGACCACCTCCCAACGGCAACGAACATGAAGCCCAAGTATCAAAGCTCAAAAGAAAAGCTCAAGAAGGGGGGAAAACACTCGAGCCTCTCTCACCAACTGCAAGTAAGAACAAGCTCAGTCAATCGCTGAAAAGAAGAATGAACTTCCCAGCTGCCTCTTCAAAAACCAAGAAGAGTGCTCTGGAAGACTTAGAATCTTCAACTAAAACATCAAACAGACCTACCAATGCAGTCCTAAATCCTGACTCTGCCACCCAAGCACAAGCAGAGGAAGAATATGATGCAGATTCAATAATAAGTGGAGTCCTATCAGACAGCGAGAATGAAATGGACCAACTAAAATCAAGCAAAAACCTTCCTGCCCAGATGACACAGACTTCCATGCCGACACTGGATAGCTCCAGCTCCACTTCTATGCAACAAGCTAATGCAACAAGATCTGCTAGAGCAAACCTAAACTGCCCTGAACAGCTTCAAAATGCAGGAAAGGACATCAGGCAAATACTGATAACAGCAAATGAAGAACATACAAACCTATCCAAAATAAACCCTTTCCGCATTGCTGCAGCCACAGACAAGATCTGCGGACCAGTAGAAAAAATAGAACATCTTCGCAATGAATCCCTGCTCATCACCACCAAAATGCTGGAACAGGTAAAAACCTTAATGAAATTATCTGAATTCACCCCTGCTGGCACTCCCATCCAAGTAGACACAACAATAGCCTGGTCGACCCAACTTTCATATGGAAAAATCTTTGCTCCTGAACTACAGGGTGAATCACTGGAATATCTGCTGTCAATACTAAAGCCCAACAAAGTGGTGGGTGTAAGAAAACTCTTATCAGACCCAGCTAAGTCCCACATCCCACTGTATGTCTTGACCTTCTTAAGCCCAACCCCACCAACCAAAATACAAATAGGGTACTGCTACGTCAGAGTAGATAAATACTACCCCAACCCACTAAGATGTGGGCAATGCTGCCGATATGGGCACTCCCGTGCCAGATGCTCAAACAAACTACCCTCATGCAGCCACTGCGGTAAAACGGGACACACAAGAGAGAGCTGTACAGACATCAACCTGCCACCCAAATGTCTAAACTGCAAAGGCCCACATGACACCACATCCAGACAATGCCCAAAATACTTGGCCAAAGTCCGTGCATGTCACCTAACTGCGGATGAGGGGCTCAGTTTTGCAGCTGCAAGAGCAAAAATTCAGGCTGAAGAAAGAAACCCGGCGTCCTCTGCAACTATTCCTTGCAACCCAGCAAGCAAAACTCCTCTTCACAACAGTAACAACCATCAAAACAACTCGCCAACAACAGCCCCCCACAACCTAGATCTCAACTCCCTGAAGGCTTTCCCCACACTGACACAGCTCATTGCAGAAGACTCATCATCCTACATCCCACCCTACCAGAACCACCCAATGAACTTAGCTGGAATAGGGGCCCTCCTAGTACACCCAGAACACACAACCCCCCAACACAAGCTCCTTCTCCTTCACTACCACCACTACACCACTCACCCTCTCAAACCCCCTCATACAACACAAACCCAAACAAAAAAGACACACAATCAAAACCTCCAAACAACAACAATGCAGACCAGCCACCACATGCCTTTAAACATGACCAAGTACACAACTGCCCAATAACTGCGTCACAAGCTTACACTCAGCATACCACATCCACCCCTCACCCATCAACAAATCATACAGCAGACCTACTCCAAATTCTAATCAAATTACTGCCAATCATCATACGCTTGTTCTTTTCAACACAAATCACAGACAAGGCCGAGTGCTTCCTTGAGATTGGCCACCTATTGCATGCTGAC